GGAAATCTAAATTTGTTATTAGATTCATTTGTGCACTTTGATGAAGAAATCTTTGTTGTTGTCGTTGCTTTTTTTTCTTTTTCTTGTTTTTGTAAATTGTTGTTGTTGTTTATTATTAAGCACAAAGCTACACAAAGGGCTATCTGTGCTCTGCCCACCACGGGTATCGAAACCCGGTTTCTAGCGGTATAAGTCCGCAGACATACCGCTGTGCCACTGGGGGGCGTTTTTGTAAATATTTTTTATAGCACATAACGTGTTGCATGCTTTTTCCAGCGGATTTCAGCAGCATCACTGAGAATGCACAACCGGAAGGGGACTATTTTCAAAGAGGAAAAAGAGACGATCAAACTAATACTAAATATTATTGCCAATGCCCCCCAGTGGCACAGCGGTATGTCTGTGGAGTTATACTGCTAGAAACCGGGTTTCGATACTCGTGGTGGGCAGAGCACAGATAGCCCTTTGTGTAGCTTTGTGCTTAATAACAAACAACAACTATATTTTGGCCCGGCATGGCCAGATGATTAAGGCGATCGATTCGCAATCTGAAGGTCGTGGGTTCGTATCCCAGTCTCACCAAACATGCTCGCCCTTTCAGCCGTGGGGGCGTTATAATGTAAAGATCAATTCCACTATTCGTTGGTAAAAGAGTAGTCCAAGAGTTGGTGGTGGGTAGCGATTACTAGTCTTTCACTGCTAAATTAGGTACTGCTAGCGCAGGTAGCAGTCGTGTAGCTTTGTGCGAAATTCAAAACAAGCAAACAAACAATTTATATAATATTGTTACGTCTCCGTTTGTTAATTAACTTTCCGTAACTTCGTTCCGACGAAATTTTAAGCGACACAAGTCTTTACTTAATAAAACTGGTTTATTATTTCCGAATATAACTTTACCGATACACTCAACTTCAACAATCGCGCTAAACAAACGCTATAACAACGAACGTCAATAATACTTCTGACTGCAGTTCAATTACTCACTATCTACACACACATTACATTATTGCCGTCACGTCTTGACCGTCTTATATATAAAAGAATACCGAAATCTAGTAACCTCCCGAGGATTCACGAAGCTTCGAGAATATGACGTGTTACTAGCGTCACGTGACCTCGATGACGCAACAATATGTTGTTTTCGTTTCGAAAAAAAATACTACATGGATTGCATTTCGAGATCAAGGTTCATACACCATGCGGGTATTTGCATTGATCCTTTCTACCCTTTTCAAAGTCATGTCCATAGATGTAAAACTTATAGCATTTAGTTGTTTTTCACCACTTCGCTTAATTAATTTGGTTATGTAAAAGTATTTCACTTCACAAACAGTTCCGTGGGCAAAATCAACACTTTTCACTTGATTAAGTTATTAGATGCGGATTTTATAAGAATATCCTTTAACTATACTTTTGGTGTCTTAATCTAAGTGATATATTTATAGGTGGCCCTTTTCTTAGGGTAGATATCAAATGGGGAGAGATATTTAGGGCTATCATCATCATGTGTGAAATAGCGATCTATGGAGCTTAGTAGATCATTCTTTCCATATCCGTTGTGGGCAGAGCACAGATAGCCCATTGTGTAGCTTTGTGTTCAATTACAAACAAACCAACAATCCTTCTCCAAATTAAAATAAATCAAGAATTATCTAAGAAGTTCAATGAAGAAAACAAGTTTAGAGTGGAGTTGCTATTCTATCGATAGATAATGAACGATCTAGGCGTTTGGATACAAAGGTCAACTGTGTTGCACAGAAAAATAAAATGAAATTCTGCTGCTGATGAAACTGCGAAGATAGTAACGTTGTTGTTTTATAAGTTGGACTGTTAATGTAGGTTATCTGAAATAAAAAATT